TTTGCAGGGATCAATGGATTAAAGGCTTCCAAAATTCAGAGCTCTGCAGATTAAGGACTCCCTAAAAATAGCCTAATGACCTATGGGACTGTTACACTGTGCTGTGTTCAGCATCCAAGTGATAATAGGTCATTGGAAGATTACTTTATAAACAGTGTTGCTGGACTGGGAGTTGTGCAGCTAGAGAATATGCTCCAGATCTGGCTCTCTCCCTGTCAAGAATGGAGTTCTTGAACACAACACAAATGGGAAACATTTCTCTCCATTAAAATAAAATCTGAATTTAAATTAGAATATCCCGATTGAGAATGAACTCAAGTTTAGTGACCAAGTCATGGGGGACAGAGCTCCCTGTCTGAACCCACCACTGTGCAGAAGGGGGAGAAGCTCCTCACTTGAGCAATGAAAGGTGCAAAAGAAACTCTGCAAATGTTCAACAGCAAGAGAAGTTGACATCAGCACCTTTAAAAACCTCAGCACCTTTGTCACACCTCATCAACACACAGCACTTCCTAGGAGAGAGAGAAGACAGGGAATCTGTGTGCCCAGGGCAACAGCCAAGCTCATCAGAGCTGAAATGCCTGGACAGCCAGGTATGTGTGAGCCAGATCCTGGCACCACTGTCACAGCCACAGGCAGGGACAAGCTCCTGGCACCAACCTGATGGGGCTGGAATTAGAGCAGAATATGGAATCTGTGTACACACCAAACCCACGTGTATGCACACATGCACACACACTCTCTTGCAGTCTCTTAAAGACTAGGAGAAACAATAACAAATTGAAGAATTACAACATTTCTGTGAATTTCACCAGGATCTCATCCACTCAGATTTACATTTTGCCTGTAAAATTCCCTTTCTGTTAAAGGTGAATCACTGTCCCTAATATATCCTGTGCATGAGGGAAGTGTGCTGCTTCCCACATTACTAAAATCCTTCCTCCTCCACTACTGCTCATGATCTCTCCTCATGTCAGGCCTGGCTCACACATACCACTCAAATTAAGGCTTGATATGGAAGCAGCGAAATTCAGCAGCAGTTTCTAGTACTGGGCTTAGAATTAGGGCACACACAGAATGGGGCATATTTAAGAGAAAAATGTTCTGGGAGAAGATATCCCTTGTGACAAATCACTACATAACACAGATATTATATTTATTCATCTCAAATGTAAAGCCTGGATCCCCAGAAACATCTCCTCAGCATGTCAGAGCCATGACTTAGTCTGGATGACACAACACTACCATGCTGAGAGCATTCTGCTGCTCTTTTAACACACTGCTAAAACAAGATTGAATAATATTTTGGATACATTTCATTTCCAGAACTCTGCTAATGGCCACTTGGAACATCTTTATTTGAAATCAGACAGTATGTTCTTCTGAATTGCTGTACATGGACAGCTTAAAACTCAGATAACTCCCAGGAATGACAGAAGTGAACTCCCAGCATGCCAGCCCAGCATTCCAGATTGTGAATTTTCCACAGAGACATACTGATTTTCACTTGCCCTGGGAGAAAACAGAGTTTACACTTGCATTTCATCTGTGGAAAGCAGGAATATTCCTGAGGATGAGTTCCCTCCTAAGCTCAGCACCACACAAGTCACAAGACACCTGCACCGTGGGTGTGCTTAGTCACTTTTCCATATTGTTTTTGTCACATCAGTGGAGAAAACTGCTCTTCCCAGGAACTCAGGAGTTCCTGTCCCAGGGATGCAGCTCCCAGCTTTGCTGAGCAGCAAAGGAATGGAACACACAGGAACAACTTCTATTAATAACTTCAGGTTTACAGACTTGCCCAGGCAGTTAATCCTGCCTGATAGCAGATTAATGATTAAAGACTTGACTCCATGGACTTTTTAAACCTGCCACACGTCAGTCAGTTATGTCAACACAGTCCCCCTTGCGTAACTCCACATGACCACGCTCATTTCTAGGCAGCCATAACTCCTCCTCAGCTTCACAAACTCCGCTGCCTGAGTGACAGAAACAAGCCCAAAATAACAAAAACTCTGCAATGGAAAAAATGTCCACATCAGGGTGACTATGTCCATATAATTATATTTATTTCTGCACACGCAAAAACCTTAATTTAATGGACTCTTCACTCATTTAACCGTTGGACTTGATGATCTCAGACCTGCACTGTTCCAACCTTAACAATTCTGTGAATCTTGGTTTTAACTCTTCCAAGCAGAGCAGGCTTTAAACACACCAACACCATCCAGAACACCCTCTAGGAGTCTCATAGGAGCTCTAACTCTAAACTTCCAAGAAATTACTAAAGCCAGGAAATGCATGCAGGAAGCCCAGCTGATAAGGAAACACTCACCATTCAAACACTCAACCCTTTGCCAGGACCAGGAATACAAACACGTCTTTCCAGGGTCTAAATTAACTGATTAAGATCACACAGCTCATGAGCTTAATCAAATCTGCCACTGGGAACCATCCAGGAAGGTCCAGTAACACAACAGGAACACTGCAGCTGCCTGGAGAACACGTCCACATAACTGGGAAACAAAGCAAACCAACCTCTTCTCAAACCAAACATCACACAATCCATTAGAGGAAAGCTTCCATCTGAGCCACTAACCTGGTTATTTATTTGAGCTGGAGATTGGTTGCTCAAGTTTGAACAGGAAATAAAAAAACCAAACATAACCGTTGCCTGTAGGCAAATAAAGACTTCTGACAGACTGTTCTTAAGAAGAGCATTAAACATCTTAGGGCTAAAAAACACTCCTTCCTTTCCAGGTTGCTTTCCTTAAATTAAACTATTTTCCAGATTATCACTTGTTACTTTTGTCAAAAATTAAGGTTGGAAAAAGCTCTCACTGAGATATAAGTTACACTTTTGAAAGTTCATTTACTAACTACTAAGGGTGGTGTCTTGTTTGGTTAAAACAAAAATCAACAGCTTTGGTTTGTTAGTTTAAAAAAATCAATCAAAAAGGAAACCAAAAAAACCCCCAACACTATAATGTCTACCAGTAAATCATTTCACTTTTCTATCAGAGTATTTTAAAAGAGTAAGAGGGACAAAGACTATAAAAATCCATACACACAGTCCCAGAGAGACCAAAAGAGTCACCTGCAGAGGAGCACAAGGCACACAGGCAAGTGCACAGGTAGAACAGCTGCAGAACTCCCAGCTCCCTCGCAGCTTTTCCCAGGCAGTATCGTGACAGGAACCAGGCGCTGATGCTGGGCTTGGCTTCCAACCTCTTCTCCATGGCCTTTGTGGGCAGCAGTGGGGTTCTAGAAACATTTAGGGTAGGAAACATAAAACATCCCGTGGTAACTGAAATGTTCCTGCACAGATCCAACGAGACTGCAACGTGAACAGAGCGTTTGTAGAGGAAAAGAAATGTCTTATCAGCTGTGATTAGTCCGGCTGTTGCTAAGGAACTATCAATGTCTGATACCCAAATGAAATGTGTAGTGGCAGAGCTCCCAGTGCTGAGTTTAGAGGGCTTTCCTCTCCAGACCCCATTTTTCATCTGATATCACAGTAGCTGTCCACTGGATTCCAAACAGGCATTCAGGAAATTTCAGTTTCAAATACGCCTGAGGATTGGACAGCCAGGCAGCAGCACGAGGATAACACAGGCACTGACAACTCCTGCACATCTGCCCGGCACTGTCATTGCAGGCACGTCTGTGCTGGCTGGTGCCAGCCAGAGACAGGGAAACGAGAGCACAACGCTGGAAAACTGGGAGCTAATGCCTTGGTCTGCTTCTTACTTTGCTCCACAGGTCAGGGATCGCCAAACTTCTCTACCTTTCTAATGCCAAAGGCTATTTAATAGCCTCATATGCTAATTGAATGTAAATTATGTCTAGGTGATGCGGTAGGAGAACATTATTTCACAGGTAATAAATACTATCTATTTTAAGGGAGCAATGAAAGCATCATTAGGCACTAATTGGCACTAAATCTGCCACTTCTGAAGAATCCAAAGGGAATGCTGTTACAGGGAATGCTGTTACAATGAATGCTGTCACAGCCACATCCACCAGCGCTCCTCAAGCACTCGGAGCTTGTTACACCTCAAGGAATGGCACTCAACCGCCCGCAGCAGAGGAAGAAGAGACACAGGAGGAAAACTTCACGGGGATAAACCCGCGCCCGCTCAGCTAATAGGTCCTTGAGGAAACTTTCCGCCGCCCCGGACCCCCGGTCCTCGCACCTGCCCGGCCGGAGCCGCCGGGGCCGGGCCCGGCCCCCGCGGGAGGCGGCAGCGCCCCGTGACGCCGGCGAGTACGTACCAAGGGCGCATGGCGAGGTTCGGCGGCTCCTCAGCGGCTCCTCGGCGAGCTCAGGCGGGTACCGGGCACCGGGCACGGCCGGGACTCCAGCGCGGCGGGCCCGGGGGCACCGCGGCCTCCTGCCCCGCGGCCATGGCGGCGCCCGCGCACGCTCACCCGGAAGCTGAACCGCCGCCTCCCGGCACCAGGGCTGGGTCTGGCCGTGCGGACAGTGCAAGAGCTGTAGAGCCGCAGGTCCCCACCACTCGCTCCCCGCCGCCGGTCCCGGTCGCACCGGGCGGGGCGGGCGCGGAGGCCGCGCAGCCACAGGTGATTTGCCCACAGTTCCGCCGGAGGCGGTGGCTTCGAGCACCGCCCAACAAGGCGGCACGCGATTGGTCGGCGGCGCGGAGTCGGTGCGCGGATTGGCTGAGGGGGCAGGTGGCGCGCGTCCGTAGGCGGGGCGCTGTGAGAGAAGGGGCTGAGGGAAGGGGTTGGAGCCGGGAAAAGGGAAAGCTGCCCGTATTCCCCTCTTAGTGCTTCAGCCGCGCTTCCCAGCCATGGCCTCAGACTCTGGGGATGGGAATGCCACGCTGAAGCGGTGCCTCGGTGTGCTCAGAGACGCGAGGAACGACAGCGAGCAGTTCGCAGCGCTGCTCCTGGTAAGGAACCGCGGAATCGCCTCAGGAGCGGGCAGAGGGGAGGCCAAACACCCTACTGGACATGGGAGTACCAGGGAAGGTGGGGATTGGGAGCTCGGAGTAAGCTGCTTCAGAGCTTTGGGGTTCCCTTCAGCAAAGCGAGGCAGCCTGGCATTGGCCTGGGAGTGCGGAGGGTCGGTCAGTGCTGCCTCACTTTTGGAACAGCGTGGTAAATGTCTGGATTTGCACTTGGGCCAAGTGCCAGCTCAGTGGGTACTTCTCTGCACTAATTAAAGTTGTTTTGGCTTCTGATTTGCAAATTCCATCCCGTGTATGTACCAAATCCTTTTGCTATACTCACGCCCACTCCTGTTTTGCCTGGTAGGTGACCAAAGCAGTCAAGGCTGGAGAGGTGGACGCCAAGACCCGTCGACAGATCTTCGATGCGATCGGATTCACGTTCCCGACCCGCCTGCTGACCTCCCGGCAGCCCCCAGCCGGCTGCCCCCCGCACACCTTCCGTGCCTTCGGCCTCACCCTGCTGGCCTGTTTCTGCACCGACCCAGAGCTAGCAGGGCACTCCCAGATCCTGAACAAAATCCCAACCTTCAATGACATCCTGCTTTCCCCCTGCGACCTGGACTGCACATCCATGGTTGATGATGTGTACCAGTGCCTCAGCGCTGTGCTGGCCACGGCCAGGGGCCCCAGGGAGTTGGTGACCAAAGGGACAGTGTCTGCCTTGTGCCAGGCCTACCTGAATGGTGGTCACGGCTCTGACCGTGCCCTCACATTGCTTGTGGGGCTGTTGGCTGTAGCAGAGGCCAAGTGCTGGCAGAGAGATGCTCCACAGCTCCTGGCTGTGCTCAGCAAGCTCTCTGGTGATTTCCTCAAGGCCGAAGACATGACCAAATTTGAGCTGTGTGAGGTTCTGCCCCACTTCATCCCCCTGTCACCTCCTCTCACAGAGAGCTCGCAGGGCTCTGAGTGCCTCTGCAGACTTTACAAAGGGCTGGCTGATGTTTTGGGCAGCAAACTCAGCCAGTCACAGCGGGACCCTGCTCTGAAGCTCGCAGCCAGCCTCGTGCAGGCCTGTGGGGCTGAGTGGATCCCAGCAGGGAGTGCTGGCAGCAAGTTCCTGGCCCTGCTGGTGAACTTGGCTTGTGTGGAGGTCCGCCTGACCCTGGAGGAGCCAGGTCCTATGGAGACGGAGGGGAAGAAAGAAGTGGTGACAGCCTGCTATGTCCTTATGGAGATGGGGATCCAGGAGTGCCTGAGGGAAGAGAACCCTCTGCTAGAAAATGTGCAGAAAGTGCAACTCATGAGGATTATGGAGGAGGCATTTGGAGCTGTAATATTCTACTTGAGAGAGGTAATGCAGAGCAGGCTCGGGGAGGTGTCTCTGTGTGGAGCAAACTCTTCCTCTTAGCCCACTGTGGTTTCCAGACCTGTGGTAGTTAATGTACAGTGACAATAATGTGTCACTTTGCTTTCTTCATGCAGGTTAAACAGGAGGAGCTGCAAGATCCTTTCATCTTTGCCTCTGTTAGAGTCCTTGGAGCTTGGATGGCAGAAGAGACATCCTCCCTCAAGCAGGAAATCTGTGAGCTCTTGCCTTTCCTTGTTGATTATGCCAGAAAGCTCTTCAAGGAGGGCAGCCCAGCTGTCAGTCTTCCCCAGGCAGAGCTGGTCAGCGCCAAGGGCTCTGCCTTACCCCAGGATGCTCTGAGGTGAGCATTTTAAGCACATGTTGCATTTTAGAGTGAATATTTTTTCTATTTTCACTCTCCCTGCAGTGCCAGTTCTGTGGGGCTTTCTCCCCTGAGATGGATATAAATGCAGGGCTTAGACCCATTCTTCCTCATATTCCCAGTTTCTTTTCCCTTCCAGATTTCTGCTACCTGGATTTTGCCATTTAACAGCAGAGGACAGGCCCCGGGACATCCTCATCTCTGTAGGGGCACCAGCACTGCTGTGTGAGTACTTCCTGCAGCAGTGGGAGGTTCTGACCTCCAAGTCCACGGCCCCAGCACCCCTGACAAGCACTGAAATGAGTCTCCAGACCTTGTGTGGGATTTTCCTTAACCTGGTTGTTACTGCTCCGGACCTGGTCAGGTAACAGAGCTGTGGGAGCTGGCTCTGAGGTTGGCAGTGGGAAGAAAGGATGCCTTGTGCATCAAGCTTGAGGATTTGTTAACATGTTATGCTGAAAAGGGATGTTCCTTTTTCAACACCAATTTCATTACATTTTTGGTGCTGTGTTTAACCTTGACATTCTCAGGTGCTTCTGGCACTGCTCAGAAAATGTGTCAAAAACGGTTTATTTTCTCTCTAGGTGTGACAAAACCTTTTCCTCCTTGATGGATGTGTTGCTGAACTCTCTCCCACTTCTGCTGCCTCAGAAGCATCACCTGGTTCTGGCAGCAAACGTTGCCACTCTGGGCCTGATGATGGCCAGGATCCTTGCGGGGTCAGCAGGTAAAGGAAGTTCTCATTGGCAAAGCCCACGTTGTGCTGCATGGGCAGAGATCAGGAGCCAGGAATTTGGGCTGGAGGAAGCAAATAGAAGGAAAACTGATCAAGATTATCATTAGAAAAGTGATAAACCAAAAATGTTCAGGAGCAAGGAATAAATGAAACATTCAGCAGGCTGATGTGCTGGGATGAAGAGATTTCTAGGGCAGGAAGATTTTGTCCTGCTTCATACAGCCCCACCTCAGGGCCCTTCTTTGAGTGAGCAAACTGCATTGTGACATTAATTTCCTTTTCCTTTCAGCCCTTCAGGGAACGAAGTCTGCCAAGGAGTTTTTTGGAGCTGCCATTTGCTTCCTCTCCCAGGCCCACACGGCCCAGGCAGACCCCAGCAGCGATGGCCTGGCCTTGGCAGTGTCACCCACCTTCGTGAGTGCCTGGGATGACATCCAGGAGCTCTGGTTCCTGGGAATGCAGGCCTTGGCCGGCTGCATCCCTCTTTTCCCCTGGCTGCCACAGGCCGTTCTCCAGGCGCAGTGGCTGCAGGGACTCTCGCAGTTGCTGTCCCGCGTTGCTCCGTCCTCTGTGGATTTTGAGCTTGTCACCGCTTTCCAGGCTGTCCTGGTGGAGCTGGCCAGAGCCAGCGAGCAGTGCAGGGATGTGATCCTGTCCCACCACGGCACAGAGTGGGCCAGTCTGTATGGAATGGCAGCTCTGGAACAGTGTCTGGCCGAGCAGCGAGGAGCCAGCAGCAGTCCAGGTGGGAAATGAAGCCAGACACGTGCAAAAGGTCTGTTCAAGACTTCTGGCATGTTATTTGCTGCCGGATGGGCATCCAAAAAACCCATTAAATGAGCAAACTTTACAAAACTGGAGTGATGCACCAGCGCCCAGCATGATCAACACTGCCCACATCAGTGTGCAGAACTGCTGCTGCCTCAGAACATTTCATCATGACCTTGCTCAACCTGTTGTGAGGATTTCTCTGTAAAAACAGCCTGTTTTTTTATTAAAGACATTTTGTCAGTTTGTTTTTCATACTCCTCTGTGCTGGGATTTCTTTCTGCTTGCTTCTTCCATTAATACGGTCACAGTTTTGTCAAAGTAAGCCCTACAGGTTTTCACCTTATTTTCTCTGAGTCCTGCACATATTTGTAAATAACTTGGCACTACACACAGACCCCTGAAAAAGGCAGAGATGGGAAAAGCTTTATTATTTACTGATAGCATTGAGAATAATTCCTTGTGATTTGAAGATGCCATGCTGCCAGATGATTCCCCAGTTCATATCCACCACTGATACCATCATCCCAAGTTCACACCTAGAAAACCTTCCCAGCACCACTTGATTTGCTTGTTTTGCCCCATAAAACACCTGCACAAAGTACATCCATGTGATTTTCAATTTGCTCCCTCTCGCTGCCAGGGTGGGATGTACAGGGAGTTTTCCACTCTTGAAGGATTCAGTCTGCCTCTGTACCCTTTAGGGTCTGAGAACCAAAATGAGTGAGTTCCCCCTTGCTGATTCCCTGCAGACAAAAGAACATCTTGCTTTACAGAAGAGAAAGGCCACACGTACCATGGAGTAAATCTCTTATAGCACTGGCTTTACAGCTTGGCCTTCCAGTTCTCGGGTCCTGCGTTATCCCGAGGATCTTTCCCAGAGGGAGCAGTTCCACAGGGCGGCTGCTGAAGCTGAAGCTCGTCCGAGCAGCGCTCCCTGCTCCTGCTTTTCCAGCAGGTGTCAGCCGAGGAGTTCTCTGGGAGCTGCTGCCTCGCCGGGCCCGGCTCTGCTGCCAGCCCGAGGCGTTGATCAGAACTCATTGCAGGGGGCTGTGGAATCGTCTGATCAAGGGAAAATCAAGCACGAAGCTGACTCAAAAGGAGGGCTGGCTCTGGGTGTATTTCTGCTTTACACTGTGTTTTTGGCTCACTGCTCTATTAGAGCAAGTGCCTTACACAACTGGAGAGGAGGCTGTTGCTCAGGGAAAGTATCTTTAGATCTTTTCACTCAGCCCTGAGCAGCCAGCACAAGTTGGAACAAAGGCAGGTGCTCCCAGTAGAGTGGTGCGAGCCAAACAGGCAAATGAGCCTCCTGGCCTTGGAAAAGAGCAGAATTTTGCAGAGCTGGGCTGGGAGAGGCTCTTCAGCCTGCCAGGAACACATCCCTGCACCGCAGGGAAACACCAGCAGGAAAAGTTAGGAATACAATGCAGTGTCAGATAAAACACCCAAACCCTCAAAGCCTTTACCTTCAAGTGCTCCCAGTCCTGTACACTCTCTTGCCTCTGGTCAGGGGTGTGGGCTTCCCATTTGTGACAGCCACTAATTAGTGCTAATGAGAAATAGGACCTGTATCAGCAGGAGGATGTTCTGCTATCCCCAGTGCAGTGGGCTTGCTGTGGGCAGCTGATTTGGTTTGGCCATGGTTCACCACTGTGGGCAGTGGTTGGAGCTCCCACAACACCCGACCAGAGATCCAGCCTGGGCCCACAGTTCCAACACTAGCACAGTCCTAACCCAGAAGCCTTTGGTTGCTGGTCTTTAATTCCCTAAGAGGCTACCTAGGAGCAAACCAAGAGCCCAGGAAGTCCTCTGGGTCCTCCAGTTTTATCCTTACCCACATCTTAGGGAGTGGGGCTTGGCCACCAGCAGGTGTCTGGAGAGGAGCACCTGCACCTCATTCTCACACTCTCTGGTGTAAAGTCCCTCAGGTGTGAGCAGTACCATCCATGCCCTGCCAGAGCTGGACCCTCCCTGAGACCCTGATGTCTTGTCATGCACTTGTTTCTTTGCATGAAACAAAACACGCTCCTTGTGAGCCCCTCACAGCTCCTGAGCCGACAATGGAAGGGGTGAGACACCCACCTTGCTCTGGGACGTTATCAGACTGAATGCCAGTGGAGATGGCAGAGCTCCTTGAGTAATATCACTGCTCTCATGTCCCAGGGCACTTTCCAAACATTCTTGGACAGAGAACCCCCGAAAAGACTGTTTTGCCTCCCTGAGACTGAGCACTGACAACAGTGAGCACTGCAGGAGGGGAGGGCACTGGAGCTGTTGGATGCCTCCTGCCACGTGGGCATCTTTGTTGGCTCCATGTGTGCCAGTCCACAGGCCCCAGCACGCCCGGCTGGCTCAGCCCACGCGAGGGAGATGGTGCCCCAGCAGCCTGGCCAAGGCTTCAAAGGCTGCAGGCTGTCCTCAGCCACCCCAAGCTTTGCAAGCCCAACCACAAGTTCTGCCCCTGGCAGCTGGCATCGACGGGCACAGATGATCTGATTCTAGAGAGGTGGATGTGGCATCATCTAATGTCCCCTCTCTGCCAGCGTTTGAGGTCCCAGCACGGAGTGGGATTGCAGCCAGCAACACCCAAAGCAAACTGTGCTTCATGTCCCAGTGAATTTCCAACACTAGGACAAGCTCTCCAGGAGCAAGATGATTATTTGCTGTGCTCCAACAATATGGACAAAGCCTCAGAGGAGCAGATCCACATTCTGTTTCTCATTGACAGCTTAAATGTCATAATGCCATTGCAAACCTGACTATGGTAATCATTATCTTACAGCATTTATTCATCTCACCCCAAAACACTGGCAATAAAATTAAATGTTTCATAAAGCTGTTATTTGGCTGCTATGCTGCCAGAACCCAGCACAGCCTCCTCCCTCCTGCTGTGAGATGTAGCAGAGGTGATGAGAGTGGAGGTCTGAGGAGTAAAGGGGCTGCCACACTCCCTGCCCACCCCTCAGCAGGGTCCCTGATCTCCCCAAAGCCCTGCCTGGCTCTCCAGACCCATAGCAAGGAGATTCCTTCTGAGAAGGGGATGTAGGAATTAATAGGGGCAGTCGTATTTCCCTGAGGTGTTGATGGGAGCTGAGCTTCTGGAGAAGAACTGGTTCATCTTTGACTAGGGAAGAGCTCTGCTCACGTACTTTAGTCTCGATGCTCTCATTGTCCCGCTCCACCAGCACTTTTGTTGCTGACCCCCAGGAGCAGAAGTTGCTGCCTCAAGCCCCTTGCATGCTCCAGGCAGTGCTGGGGATCTCCTGAGAAGGAGCTCTGGGACCTTTGCTACAAAACCAGTTTTCCAGAGATTTCTGGCCTGGGTCCATGTGCAAGAAATGGTCCCTGGGGTGGAGACCTTGCCCAGACTCACAGCAAATGCTCCCTGTAGCTGGAGGGCAAGGGGGCAGCTCTGGTGTTGAGGTCCTCAGCAGGACCACATCACTGTTAGAAAACACTAAGGATGTTTGGTAGAGCAAAACACAAATACAGCTGGACTCGTGGTCCTTAAACAGGGATGCTCAAGAACAGGTAGCAGGGAGCTGTGTTTGAGCTTCCTGTGCTCAGACGACCCCAGCAATTGTCCTGGCCAGGTTGAACCAGTAACAAAACCAGGCACCTGGGAGAATGTGTTGGCAGCCCCCTGTGTGACAGTCCTGGGCTCTGCCTGGGACCTCAGGACAGCAGGTAAAAGTGAATAATTGTTCATCAGCAGCACTGGTGGTTTAATGAGTGCCTCCTGTCCATGAGAGGCCCAGGGGTTTGGTTTGCCCTCATCATCAGACAGGTGCTGTACACACGGTCAGGGGCACTGAAGGACTCAGAAGGATCTTGAACATCTTGTAATGACAATTCTGCTTCTTTTAGTGCTCTGAGGGTGCTGCTGAGCAGGACTCCGGGGCTGGGAAGGTGCTGATTGTGCTCCCAGAGAAGGTGAGAGAAGGTGCCAAGGCAGAGTATCTCCTGTGAGTTTCCCAAAGCCCAGAGTCTGTTGCAAAGTCCCTTTTCTCCTTCCTGATCACTGCTGCGCTGTTTTGGGGAGAGTGACAGCCCCCACAGCTCTACAGCCCCAGAACTCCAGGCTGCTCTGCCCCACTGCCCCAGCCTAACAATTCCCAGGACCCCAGTTTGCCCAGCACGTTCCATGAGGGGCAGCGGGACAGCTCTGCTTTTTGTTTTTCCTTCCCTTTGTCTGTCAGTATTGCAGGTTTCCTCTGCTCTGTCTCGTTTTTGGGTGGAAACCCAACTTTCCCCCAAGCTGCTGCAAGGGACCAAGACTACTCACAAACCTTCCTGCCCGGATTTTGCACAGTTTCACCTCTTTCAGAGGAATAAAGACTCGACAATATACAGAGTAGACGAGCGAGGGACATTAAGAATGAACTGGAACATAACTGCAAAATACAGCATGTCCAATCCAATTTTTCCTAGCAAATGAAATGGATCTGGTGGAAAATAAATACAGAACTTCCAGGAGCAGCATCTTTGAAGAGCATTTGAGGGGGATGGAGAGATTTGAATGGATCAACCCTCTATACCTCCGCATATCCCTCCTCCCACCCTTAAATGCCATCTTTAACAGAAATAAATTAGAATAAACGATCAGCCGTTGCCTCCTAAAGACAGGTGGCAGAGTAATATTAAAAGAAATGAATAAAAATTCATTTAATGAGCATTGTTAATTAAACCTGGAAATCAAAGAGGTCTGAGTTGTGGGAATTCAGAGGAAAAATGAAAATGAAGGGAGCTGTAGCTCGGGGCGGGAAGAGTGGAATTAAATTAGCTGCAGTGTGAGGCTGTGTTTGTTGATGTCGATCACAGAGCGGCGTGTTACAGCTGGGGGTGAAGGGTTTGTGCTCCGCTCCACCTAAAACACGCGCTGCCAATGCAACATCCCGCCCCAGCGATGCCCCGCCGGCGCCCTGCGGGGACCCGCGGTGACACGGCACCCCACAGCCCGGTCACAGCGCCCGTGGGAGGCGGGGAGCTGTGACCGTGGTGTCCGGGTGCCGCGAGTGCGTGTCGGGGTGTGAGAGTGTGCCCGTGTGGATGGGCACGGCCGTGATACGGGAGGAGGGAAGGATGTCATTGGGGTCATTCGGTATCGCTGGCGGGGCCTTCCCGTCTGCCCGGTTCGCCCCGCTGGTGTCCGGTGCCCGGCGCTGCGCTCCAGGACCCGGTGTTGCGGGCCCGCCTCGTCCTGCCCCGGAGGGAGGGCCCAAACAGAGAGTGAGGGAGGGAGGGATGGAGAGGC